TGCCCAAGCTAGAGTGCTGTGGCATCAGCCTAGCTCACAGCAACCTCAAACTCCTGGGCTCAAGCAATCCTGCCTCAGCTTCCCAAGTAGCTGGGACTACAGGCATGAGCCACCATGCCCGACTAATTTTTTCTATATATTTTTAGTTGGCCAATTAATTTCTTTCTATTTATAGTACAGATGGGGTCTTGCTCTTGCTCAGCCTGGTTTTGAACTCCTGACCTTGAGTGATCCACCTGCCTCGGCCTCCCAGAGAGCTAGGATTACAGGCTTGGGCCTCCGTGCCCGGCCTAGGAAGATCTGATCTTAATGTGCATAAGAGAACACATACTGGAGAAAAACAACAAATGTAATGAATGTGGTAAAGCCTTTAGTGACCACTCATCATATACACAACATGAAAGGACACACTGCAGAGAAACCTTACAAATGTAATGAATGTGGAAAGTCCTTCAGCCTCAGCTCTCACCTTATAATTCACAAGAGAATCCATACTGGAGAGAAACCATATAAATGCACTGAATGTGGGAAAACTTTCGGTTTTCACTTTTCTTTCAATCAACATAAGAGAATACACACTGGAGAGAAACTGTATAAATGTCATCACTGTGTGAAAGCTTTCAATCAAGGTTCTAACTTCATTGAGCACCAAAGAACTCATATGAGAGGAAAAGAACTAGACATTTCATTTTAATGTATAAAAGCTATGCAAATACATTTTGTCTTTTCGACTTATTCTCAGAGAAGGGCTGAGCCTGGGTGGCATTTGATACATAGGGAAGTTGCCAGTAAGTAATGATGGACTCTCTTTGATAATACTAGTTAATACAATCAATCAGTGCAGGGAGGGCTATTCCTGAGAAGTCAAAATAGGTTGCTGATGTTTTGCTAAATGACTGCATGTAGCATTCCAAAGAGCCAGAGTACCATGCTTTACTTCATTGTTCCTCCAATGCTAGAAAGTTAGGATGCTTCTAATTTGTTTCAGGAAGTGACTATAAACTATAGTTATAAACACTGTGCAGAAACATGGAGAATGCCTAGTGATATGTAGTGAAATATGCAGAGCCTGTAGTAACTGTATCACCCTCCGTGTGCACTTGGACAAAGGCATAGTAGGAAACAGAAATAAACATAGATAATAAGCAGAGGCTTGGATATTGTGTGTGACTTTTTCCCTTCTTTTCATATGTTCAAAATTGCTATAGTTTTATAATAAAAGATAATAAAGAAGTGGATCAAATATCAGCCTCAATTGTTAGAAGTGGATGCACTGAGGTAGCCAAAAAACAAGTGAAATATAAATAAATTTTATGATCAATACTAGAAGTTGGAAAAATAAATTATAATCAAGTCAGAAGTAAGGACATAATAAAGTTAAAAGCAGAAAATACATGGTAAAAGGTGACTCAGAAAAATAAGTTGAATAAATTCCAAACATGATTAAGAAAAAGGACACACAGATTTGCAATACTGGGAATGAAAAGGGAATTGAACAGAGAAAATAATATCAAATGTTTGTACATTTTTGTGTTAATACACTTGAAAACTTAGATGAAAAAGCCAGTTTTCTAGGAAAATGTTATCCTGGTTATCATCCAGGAAAATATTATATTTCCCAAAGATGACTCAGAAGGCCTAAGTGGACTAAACATTTGGATTACTTTGAAAAAGTTCTCAAGGAATTACCCCACAAAAAATTACTAAAGCCGAGGTATTTTACCAATGAATTATTTCTACCCTTTAAAGAAATAGAAAACTCTGATACAAAGCTGCTCCAGAACATGTAGAATTTACTTTTTCATGATAGCAGTCTGTCAAAGCTGAAAGAAAACTTAAAGGCCAATATCTCTCAGGAATGTTGATGCAAAAATTGCAAATCAGATACTGCCAATAAAGACAAGTTTAGCTAGTATACCTGGATTTAGGAACATTCACTCCAGAAATCTGGTGTTTAGTTTTAGAAAATATACAACTATTCTGGTTCAATTTAAATCAAGCAGTGGAGAAAAACCCATCATCTCAACAATAAATGAGAAGGACGTTCATATAATTCAGTATTTATTGAATATTGATGGGGAAAAATCCTCTGTTAATCAGGAAAAAAGTTTGTATAATATGATATCATGTTTAATGGTGATACTAGAGCTGGGGTTGGCAAACTATGGTCCACAGGCTACATCTGGCCTTGTTTGTGTCAATAAAGTTTTATTGGAACACAGTCACACTGACTCATTTCCATATTGTCTATGCCTTCTTTGACACTGTAAGGTAATGTTGAGTAATTATGAAAGATTTCATGGCCTGAAAAGCCAAAATATGTACCATTAGTCTTTACAGAAAAGCTTTGCTACTCCATGATATAGAGTTATTAATATCTCCACTCCACTTAGGAAAGACCAAGGAAAGGTTGCTCAATAATCCTTATGTATGAACAGGCAATTCAAGAAAAGAATACAAATGGGCAAGAAATACATGAAAAAGTATATGAACAATCAGTAATCAAAGAGAAGCAAATAAAATGACAGTATATATGTGTATGTGTGTGTGTATACATATATATACTTTTTTTTTTTGAGACAGGGTCTCACTTTCTTGCCCTGGCTAGAGTGCAGTGGCCCTCAAAATAGCTCACTGCAACTTCAAATTCCTGGACTCAAGCAATCCTCCTGGCTCAGCCTCCAGAGTAGATGGGACCACAGGTGCACATCACAATGCCTGGCTAATTTTTTTTATTTTTTGTGGAGACTGGGTCTCACTATGTTATCCAGTGACTAGTTGCCTAGTCTCAAACTTCTGACCCTCCCACTTCTGCCTGCCAAAGTGCTAGGATTACAGGTGTGAGCCACTGCACCTGGCCAGCAGTATGTAGTTGAGGCGCTATCACGAAGTAGGCAGAATACCAGGCACTCATCTATACAGCCTCATTCAATAAAAGTACCCTGCTAAGGCAAGGGTTACATTATTGGTATCTCCATTTTATAGGTATAGATAATCCAGTCTCCAGGGGTTAATTGGCAGGTAAAGACTGGCAGAGACTTAAAAAGACTATGTTGGATGTAGTCAAAAGTAGTGGGGAAATGGACCCTATCTGTCACACGAGTGTTCTCTCTTTATAGGGTGGTTAAGCTGGAAGTGCCCAAATGCAAAATACACCCATGAGTTGATTTCAGAACCTCACCTTTGCAGTTTACCCATGGAAATAACTGCCCAGATATGAAAATATACAGGCACAGGCCCTTTCTCCTCTCCTCTCCTCTCCTCTCTCTCCTCGCCTCTCTCTCCTCTCTCTCCTCTCCTCTCCTCTCCTCCTCCTCCTCTCCTTCCTCTCTCTCCCCCCTCTCCCTCTCCTCTCCTTTCTTTCTTTCTTTCTTTCTTTCTTTCTTTCTTTCTTTCTTTCTTTCTTTCTTTCTTTCTTTCTTTCTTTCTTTCTTTCTTTCACCTACAGCATCTAGTATTCTCAGGCAGTCTCCCATCCAAGTATTAACCAGGCCCAGACTCTGCTTAGCTTCCAAGATCAGACAAGATTGGGTGTGTTCAGGATGGTATGGCTGTAGACCACAGGACCTTTCTTATGGCATGGTTTGTAACAGCAAAATACTAAAGGCTCACCAATAGGAAAATGTTTAAATAAATATGATGAAATTAAATGGCATATTGCTCAGAGACAAAACATCTCATAACAACATGGATGATCCCAAGTCTCTGAAGTTATAAAACTCTCCCAGGGGAACTCTGGAAGAATGTGGCCACATGGTGACATTGGTTATCTATGGGTCATGGGATCTTAGCAATACTTGCTCTTTGCCTTTTCTTAAATGGTTTCAATTTCTTTACAATGAATGAGTGGCATTTTAAATTAAAAGAAAATTATTTTCATCCAGAAATAATATTAAGGTCACGGAATAAAAAATTTTCATTAACATAATATGACAGGGTGGGAAATAAAACAGAAGTCATTGTGTGTAGCCAGAGATACAACTGGGTGCTAGTATAGTGGGAAACTGACTGAAAATACAGGGATCAGCATGTGTGTTCCAGAGAGACACAGAGACAAAGACAATTTAAGAGTTAAAAAGATGTGTCCACAAGGTAACACACTTGCTTCTCAAAGGCCAGCTACATGGGCCTCAGTAGTCATGCCAGAGAAGCAAGTGCCTCAGCTGGGAACTCTGGTGGACCAGGACTGGCTCTCGAAGCCACAGCTGTAAGTGTGATGGCTGTTGTGTCCCCTCATTTGGGAGAAATATAAACATCCCCATCTATTTTATTCCCAGAGCCTACAACAATGCTTTGCATAGTAGGTGCCTTAATGGGTATTTATCGAATGAATATAAGTGGCATCAAAAGTAGAAAGGATAAACAAATTGTGGTATACCCATTCAATGGGAAACTATACAGCTGTGAAAATAAAGAAATTAGACCTTCATATATCAAAAGAGATAAATCTCACAGTGATAAATAAACGGAGCAAAAAAAAAAAAAGATAAAAATCTGAAGGCATCAATAGCATTTATATAAACGCAAAACATGCAAAGTAAACAATGCTTTGCTTAGCAGGCTCTTCCGCCAGATACCTGCATGGCTTGCTCCCTCACTTCCTTCTGGTCTTTGCTCAATGAGGTGATTCCAACTCACCCTTAGCACTCAATTTAATACTGCAACTCGCCTTTCCCATCCTGGCATGAAGTCACCTTCTCTGTCCTTCTTTTCCTTTTTTCCAAAGTACACATTGCCTTCTAACTACTTCTTAATTTACTTGTTTATGTTTCTTGTCTATCTCCTGCTTCCATAAGTACAGAATGTTTACTTTGTTCACTTTAGTCTCCCACAGCCTAGAACAGAGCCTGGCACAGAGCAGATGCTTCATAAATGTCTGCTGATGATTGAATGAATGATGGATGCTCCCTCTCTTGGGGAACCCATTTCCCAGGTTGGTTCCCAGACGATAAAGCATAACAGAATACCTGAGACTGGAGAATTTATAAATAAATTTATTGGCTCACAGTCTGGAGGTTGGGAAGTTCAACATCAAGGTGCTGCTGAGTTTGGTGATGATGATTCCTAGAGCGGGCCTTGAATACTGCATCCTTACATGGTGAAAGGCAGGAGAAGAGAGAGACGAAGAGAGAAAAGAGAGAGTGTACACACACAAGAGCACACAAACTCCCTTCATCAAGCCTTTTATAATGGCATTAATCCATTCATGAGGACCCTACATACCTCCCATTAGGCCCTACCTCCCAACACTGTTGCATTGGAGATTAGGCTTTAACATTAGTTTGGGAGGGGACAAAAATATTCATATTATTGCAGGGATGTTTTTCTTCATCTAGTTTCCTGATATCTTTGCGTCAAAGTCAGTGAGTTCTCTCTCAAGTGTGAACAGAGCTACCTCCTCTCTCGTTAGGACATGAATTCTAGTCCTTTTTGTATGAATACTGAGGTTTGTGGAGCAGGTATTAAATGACTGCATATCATAAAACTTAACTTCTGTAGAAGATAATTATGATTTTAGATAGCATTGATACAAAAAACCAAAAGAGGGTAATATGATTGAGAAACAGAGGGGATGAGTCAGAGCTGGCTATTACTGGCATGTGACATCTGTGCTGAGATCCGGATGAAGAAGAAAAATAACCCTGTGGTTGTATAAGGAAGAACATTCTAGGTAGAGGGAACAGCAAGTAAGAAGGCCGTGAGGCAGGAATGGGCTTGCCCTGTTGGAGAAATTGCTGGTGTCCAGGATCTGGCAGGAGTGAGAGGAGATGAACTTGAGGGATTGAGGTGAGGAGTGGGGTGGGACAGAGGCCAGTCCTGCTGAGTTTTCTAAGCTCTGAACTGGAGTTTGGATTTTAATCTAACTACAATGGGAACCCAGTACAGAATGTGAAGCAGGGACCTGATGTGAGATCCTAAAAACTGCCCTGACTGGCCAGGCGTGGTGGCTCACGCCTGTGATCCTAGCACTCTGGGAGGCCGAGGTGGGCGGATCGCTTGAGCTCAGGAGTTCAAGAGCAGCCTGAGCAACAGCGAGACCCCGTCTCTACTAAAAAAATGGAAACTAGCTGGACAAATAAATATATATAAATATATATATGAAAATAAATGGCCATGGTGGCGCATGCCTGTAGTCCCAGCTACCTGGGAGGTTGAGGCAGCAGGATCGCTAAAGCCCAGGAGTCTGAGGTTGCTGTGAGCTAGGCTAATGTCACAGCACTCTAACCTGGGCAACAGAGTGAGACTCTGTCTCAAAACAAACAAACAAACAAACAAACAAACAAACAAACAAACAAACAAACACCCTGACTGCCTGCTGGAGGATGAGGTGTAGGGAGATGGAAGGGAAACTGAGAGACACTTTCCTTTTACTTCTGTCGCTGCTTCTTCTCCAGCATCTTTCTCCACTTGATAGTGGGGTGGGAGATAGAGAGGTGGGAAGTGTGGGTGTGCCATGCAGAAACTGCTTTCCCCTCGGTGCCACTCTCTGCATGGGCTCACCTTCCTGTCAGCTGGGGCCCCTCACAGCACCTTGTCCCTTCCACCTTACCTCTCTCCTGGGCTTCCCCCTCAAATTCAGCCTGTCCTACTTGAACTTCTCTCCTTCTGAAAGGGCTACTTCCCTCTGCCCACGCACAGTGAGTGCCAACACCACCCATAAAAGCCCAACCCACAGGCCTGCTTCTTTAAATGACCCTCCTTCTCTAGTGGAAATATCTCCAGGATTTCTCTTTCCCACTGCTCACTCAAGTCCAGACTCCTAAATGGCCACCCTGCTTTTGGTCTCCCCCTGTTACAGTCCCTTCTTCTACACTAGCTGCCCCACTACTTCATTAAAACGCACATATAATAACCTCACCACTTCCCTGCCTCAAACCTTTCAATGGTTCCCTGTAACTTACAGTGAAAGCTGCATCTCTCCTCACCCTCTATTTCTCCTCCCACTTTTGTCAATCTCTGATACTCTCTTCTCCAACAACTTTAAGCCACGTACTTAACTCTTAACATGCTCCCAGGCCCTTTGCACACAGTTTCCTCTACCTGGATAACCTCTTCCATCTGTCAGATACCCAGTCTAAGTGTTTCCCATTGGACAATGCCTTTTCTGGGGCCACCTCTCCCTTTCCTAACAGAGCTGGTCCGTCACTCCTCTGGAACCCACACGTGCACACAATCACACAAACTGAGCCACTCTTACTGCATTTCTTCCCCGTCAACCTCCATATACTGTGGATCCTCATGGGCCGCAAACAGGTCTGACTTGCCTTGGAAGCCTCCATACCAGGCTCACAGGGTAGGAGCTCAATAAACGTTCAGGAAGCAGAGTGGTGAGTGAGAAGTGGGTTTCCCACTGAGGTGCTGAGCCTGGGAACCACCAGAGCAGACCCTGGAAGCAGTGGAAACAAAGGTGGACAGAACAGACAAGTAGAGTGAGGAGGAAGGGTGGGGAGGAAGCACTGGGAGAGGGTCATCCCATAACAGGTGGGAAGGAGACTCCAAGAGGATCCCACAGGGTCTAAGTGTGCTCCGCTGTTGGGGATCTTCCAGAGTCAGTTAGGGCTGGAGGCTGGAGGTCAGTGACCCAGGGTCCTGGCCCAGTAGCCTTTTTATCACCCATCTTTGATCTTGACAGTGGGTCTGGATGGCAACTGCTAAGGCAGAGGTTTCCTCAGCCCCGCTTGCCACTCTCTTCCCAAGCCCCACTCAATACATGTTGACTCAAGGGGAAAAAAATTACAAAATAGGTCAATGCTAACTAATACCGTGTTTCCCCAAAGATAAGACAGGGTCTTATATTTATTTTTCCTCAAGAAGACACCCGAGGGCTTATTTTCAGGAGATGTGTTATTTTTTTTAAAGTATGGTACAACAATCTACATTTATTCAAATATAGTTAAGTCACCTTCTTCTGTAACATCATCACTCTCCAAACCCCGAATTCCATCCTGAATTTCTTGTGACTCTATTTCCTTTAGAACCATTGGCCCCAATCTCTCACGTGGAGCCACAGAGCTGTCATGGGGCAGATGAGAAGGGCTGCTCGTGGTCTTTCCCGCTCCGCGATGACACGCCCGTCACTAGGGCTTAATTTCCGGGTGGGGCTTCTATTGCACATGCTTAGACATCCTGCTGGGGCTTATTTTATGGGGAGGGCTTATTTTCGAGGAAACACCCTATGTCCATAACGTTTTGCCGTCTGGAAAGAGATTTGGGAACGATCTCTCTGAAGTGGGGCTTCAAAGGCAAGGGGAACCTCAGAATTAGGTTCTTCATCTTAAAGAAAGGTATAAGCGCTGCTTTCTCACAATCTTCTGAATGGTAAGTGAAATGATCCCTCTGGCGCGTTCAGACCTGCGTCTGGGATGCAGGAAGCGCTCAGACCCGTCAAGCTCCCACTGCCAACGCGGCTACCATGAAGCCTCCATTTCACGGACGGGCAAACTGAGGCTCGGAGCCACGACTTACCCATGCCCTCTCAAGGCGGGCAGCGGGGGGATGGAGGGCGGTCTGGGGCTGCAACCACACCGCCGCCTCTGACGTCAGCGCCCTGACGGATCAAGCGCCACGCAGTGGGCGCTCCGGGAAGGGGAGCAGGGCAGCTCCCGCGATGGATGCGCCGCGGCCCAACGCCGGAAGTGAGCTGTTGGACTACCTCTCCCAGCAGTCCCCGCGGCGCGCCCCGGCCCAATGCCGGAAGTGAGCTGTCGGACTACCGCTCCCAGCAACCCCACGGCGCGCCCGGGTCGACGCCGGGGTAGCGGCCGCCATTGTCCGCGGCCGAGTCGAGACCTTAGCACGGCTCTGGGGCTGCGGTCGTCGCCGCTGTCGCGGGGCCGAAGGCTCGATAGAGCCAGCGTAGAGAGGCGGCGCTGCGGTGGGGGCCGGCGCGGCGCTGGGGCGAGTCCTGCGCCTGCTCGTCCCGCGCGGGCTTCGCAACCCCGTTGCTCTCGGCCCGCCTCGCCCGCCGCCCGCCGCCCGCCGCCCGCCTCCCGCCTCCCGCCTCCCGCCTCTGGGCGCGCGGCCTCGTCGGGCAGGCCTGGCCCCGGGGAGCCCTGGAGGTCGGGCCCGGCGCGCCTTTGTCTCCAAGGTCGCGCGTGGGGCTCACAGGCGCACGGCTGGGCCATCCCTCCGCACGGGACAAAAGCCAGACGCCCTCGGCGAAGCGACCTCGACCCTGCTGAGTCGTCTTCCAAGGGTGGGGGGACTGGGGGCTGCGAGCAAGGTAAGGTCAGCTGCTGGCTGGAACGAGCTACTCCTGGAGTCGGGGGTGGCGGAGGATATCTGGGGCGGGAGGCGGGAAGCAGGTGATGAGGTCGCCTCTGAGGCCGTTAATGGGAATAATAACCCCGTTCCATTCCCCAACAGGCGTTTCTCATCCGTGCACATTCATTTTATGTGCTGTGAAAGACGTCAATCGTGGGCTGGCAACAGCCCTGCGTTCCTTTAGACTTGGAGTGACCGGGTTTTTGGGGTTTTTTTTGTCAATTTGTAAAAAACAGTGCAAAAATACAGTTTCTCTGCTTTGAGTTTTGGAGCAGATCCCAGTGCTCTTGAGGCCCAGTGGATGTCTTTAGTGCTTTATGCACATATCCAGGACTCAGAGGTCGAGGGAAAAGACCTGTACAAAGACCTGCAACCTGGGGAGTTAGGGGTCTGGGTCCCGGGCCCATCTCTGACTCCTCTACACCAGAAGGGGACAAACTTGGGCCTAGTGGACCTTGTAAGTGGATTTTTTTGGTAGTGGGAGAGGTAAAGTTTACATAACATAATGTTCATCACTTTAACGATTTTTAAGTCTACATTTCAGTGGTTTTGTTGTATATTCATAAAGTTGTGTACTCATCACCACTAATTCTAGAGCATTTCATCACCCCCCCCAAAGAAACCCCTGCACCCATTAAGCAGTCACACCCCATTTCCCTCTTTCCCCAGCTTGAGACAACGACCTATATATGAGGGGTGCAGGTAGATTTGACAATGTATTTTGCCAAATTAACAGAGAAATTTCACTTTGTTGTGACTGGCTGTCTCTTGGGAATGGCTGACAGATTACCCTCTCATCCAGGATAGGGCCCTTTTTTCCAGCTTACACAAGTTACTCTTCCTTTCTCTTCAGGAATTCTGTCATATTTTTGACATGTAAATTCTATTTTCTTTTAATGCTCCTTAGGAATCTTTTGTTGCTTCTTTGCATGGGTTTCTTACCTTGTTCCCTCTGAATCTTCTTGAGAAAGGACCAGTTTTGTCTTTTTCCACCTTTGTCAATAGGTTGGGAATTGCAGTGCTCCTGGTCAAGCCCCCAGTCAGGTCAGTCCTGATCAATTCTCCAGAATGGATGCCATCAACCCATGGGCCTCCTGGGGTGAGTTCAAATCCTATTTCTTCAGGGCCTCACCTAGCTGTTACCTGCTGTAGCTGTGGGTCAGAGCTGGGATAGGGCTGAGGACTTTTAGGGATGGGAAGGGGTGTATTTGTCTTGGTACAGACCTAGAACTGATTGGGAGTCAGAATTGGAACTGGCTGGTGATAAAGGGGGTCAACTATTGTCATAAAAGACAGTGAAACTTTTACATGTTTCATAGTTGTCTCCTGAGAAGCGTTGTCAGCTCTAAGAGATTTTCTGGGGATTTGTGGGGTTTCTTAGAAGACAATCACATATACAATCAAAATGTTTTCTCTACTGGTCCCGTATTTTTTTTTTAACTTTTGTTAATGTTTTTCACTTATATAGCATTGGTCTGTAATTTAGAAACAATGTTGAGTAATAGTGTGATGTCACTGGTGTGTTTTATCTTTAAGTGAGATTTCATTTGTTCTGTGGCTACATCATATCAATAGATTTACTAAGAGTGACCCACCTATGTATTCCTGTATGAATCCAGCTTATGTTGAATTTTTTTTCACATGCCCTTGTGTTCTGTTTATTGGATTTTGTCATGCCTACTAGTGAGACAGACAGTCTCTTTTTCCATTTTGTCACCTTTAATCACTAGGTTTGGTGTCCCAGTCCTAACCCGATCCTTCTGTGCAGGTGCCCTTATGGACCAGTCTTGGAGGATGGCAGCTGTTGATCCGTGGGCCTCCTGGGGTGAGTCAAGAGCCTGTGTTTCTGTCAGGGCACGTTGGCTGCCGTGTTGTGGCCTCTCGCTGCAGTGATCTGCCTAGCTGAGGATCAGAACGGAGGACCAGGTGGGGCTTTAGGGAAGGGGGTTTGTGATCCAGATCTGTCTCTGTACAGAGTTGAAAGAAGGTAAGAGCAGAAAACCTCTACTGGGGGATAAGGTGATGTTGACATCTCAAGGATAGGATGCATGAGAATTAATGTGTGGCCATTTAGGGCTCAGGCATAGAAAGGCTGTGAATGGACACTGCTTCTCAGAGATGATGCCTCACAGTATAGGAGTCAGTGAGGGATTCATGTGTTCTGGCACTTTCCTAACATCTGTGAGCCCCAGTTCCTTTGTCTATAAAATGAGAATGTCCAAGGGGGATGGCAGGGGCTGGCCCTCCTCTGTCTCCCAGGAAGAAGGGCTTATGTTGGCAAGCATCTGGCAGGAAGAGTTGCCTCCGTGACTTCTTTCTCCTTCCCCAGCTCTGTGTCCACAGGACCCTGCCTGGCATGTGGAGGGAAGCCCCGAGGAGGGGAGGAGGGCCACTGGGCTCCCAACAGCCCAGGTCCAGGTGAGATGGGGCTTCCATTTATTCCTGAAGGGCTGCCCTATTCCCAAAGGATGAGTGTTCAGGGTATCCCTGGCCATTCCAGTCCATGTGGTTCCTCAATTAGGTGGTGCGGAACCACTGCGCCAAGTGGTGAAGGAAATGTGTCCGCCAGATGGGTACAGCCAGGTGAGCAGGAGTCTGACCTATAGCACGCCACAGTGTGTGTTTGGGGGACCAGGCAGCAGGCACACTGTGTGACCAGTGTTTGGATGTTTGGATAGCTAGAATTTGAGTAAAGAAGGAATCAGTTGGAAGTTAATGCTTCCTGAGTGCAGATAAGGAGAATTCAGGTAGTTTTTCATGACTTGGAGCCTTACTGTCTATCAGTGTCTCCACAGTGCTGAGCCCCGACGGTGCCCCAGGTTGTTGTGGTTGATGAGGGACAGCCCTTTTAGCTGTCAGCCCCCCTTCTCTTTCCTCCTCCCACCTTTATTCACATGTTCAGTGCCTCATTTAGGCTGATGCTGTGCACTGAGCTGTAGGCTTGCTGTGAGGGGAACAAGGATAGATATGAGCTACCACTCTGAGGAACTCCTGGACCTCTTTACAGGGTTATTCACTGAGATAACGATGCCTCATAGCCTGCCTGGGGGCACACATGCAGTGTGGGACATAAGGAGCCTGAGACATGTAGGGAGGTCCTGAGCCCCGCAGGAGCTTAGGCCAATGGATGCCTTGGGAGATGGGACGAAGTCGGTGCAGAGGTCACTGGGGGCACAGAGCAGCTGGGATCCTTATGCTGTGGAGTGGGAGGCCTGCGCCAAGTGGTGAAGGAAATGTGTCCGCCAGATGGGTACAGCCAGGTGAGCAGGAGTCTGACCTGTAGCACGCCACAGTGTGTGTTTGGGGGGCCAGGTGGCAGGCACACTGTGTGACCAGTGTTTGGATGAAGACTGACCCCAGTTAGGCTGTAGAGGCCAGGATGAATCCAGCTGAACCCTGAATGCCTGCTGCAGAGTTTGTTCTCCATCCTGGTGGCAATAAGGAGCCTTAGAAGTGTTGGGAACAGGAGGCACCAGGGTCCAGAATGTGGCTGGTAAGATTCCCCTGATGGGTGTGGAGAGAAGGAGCTGTGGGAAGCAGGTTGGCATTTCAGACTTCAGTCTGACCGTGGCCTGGGAGCTGGGGAGGAGAGCAAGATTACAGGGGTATAAGGCAGTCAAAGAAGGGGGCTTTGTAACTGTAAGAGCACAGGGTGGCTCCCAAGAGAAATAGGACAGTGGAGTTGGTATGGGAGAGGTGTCATCCCCTCCTCCCCTGCCCAGCCTCCTCAGCTGAGGCAGCCACTTTAAATTTTTGTAATAACAGCTTTATTGAGATGATATGATTCCTATACTATAAGATTTACTTTTTAAAATGTATGGCTCAGTGGTCTTTTAGTGTATTTGCAGAATTATGCAACCATCACCAGCATCTAATTCTAGAACATTTTTGCCACTGCAAAAAGAAATCCTATACCCATTAGTAGTCACTTGCTGTTCCCCTTACTCCCAGCCGCTGGCAATCAACCACTAATCTACTTTCTATGGATTTGCTTATTCTGAATATTTCATATAAATGGAATAATGTGATATGTGGCCTTTTATGTCTGGCTTTATTGGTGTCTTTTATTTGTGAATTAAAACAATCAAGCAAATGTCAGATACTGTAATATAAAAATATTTAAAATAACATCTCTATGCCTACTCCCAAATTTAAAAAAATTAATAAAACCACCCACAGTTTCAAAGCTGGTGGGTGAGGTGCGTCATAAGTGTGCTGTCCCCACGTGGCAGCATAGGTGTCCCTGGAAGCAGAAGGGGCTGAAATACGTGATGCAGGGTGGTTGTCTAGCATCGGAATTGGACTGTGAGGTTTGCTGCTGTTATGAGGTACAGTCATTATTAGATCCTATAACAGAACCATCAGCAGTGAAGGTAGGTAAGGCTGAAAGACTAGCCCTGAATCAGTCTCATGGGCACAGAAGTTAGCTGTAATAAAATGCTGTGAAGAAGCCCTGTTAACCACTGTGCTATACTCTACTACTGTTAATTTACACAAGAGTTTCTGAGAATTATCAGAGTTAATGCTGAGAAAATAAAACAGAATTAAAATAACAACACCCTCCAATGTCTGAAGAGTTGTGATTTCTGAGAAGATGCTCCTGGTCCCCCCCCCCCCCCCCACACACACACACTTTGGATTTTTCCCTGTGGGAAGCTCAGGCTTGAATCAT